TAAAATGGAAAAATTGTTGTTGTTTCGTGTGTACAACTGTTTCATGTAAATTTAACATGGATCGTGTTACTTAAAAATCGAGGATATTTTTCTGGGTGTGTTCGTAGCAAAAGCGACTACCTGGCAACCTGCAAGGGTTGATTTTTGCTGTAATTTATACCTTTATCCACCAACGTCGTTTGATAAAGTGATAAACTTTGGTTAAATAGATTTCCATACAGCGTTTGGCAGTTCATTTATCAAAATGATAAACTTATCACTTTATCAAGTTTATCAAGAGTTTATCACTTTTGATGAAGACCCCTAGTATGTATATATTAGTCTCCGATTTGAATACTTCAGCCAGTAGTTATTGCAAATTCAACCAGCCATGGCGCATTTCAGTGCAATCAGCAGTTTACTGCTAGTTAGCGTAGCATTAATTGTGATATCTTCACTCGTAGTGAAACCAGCAGATGGTTCGAATATTTTGGGGGTCTTTCTCAGTCCTTATCCCTCGCATCTGATCGTGCATATGTCGGTGGTTAAAGCGCTAGCCGAAAAGGGACACAATGTGACCGTTGTTAGTTTGTTCAAACCCAAAGTGAATCATAAAAATATAACCAACATTATTATACCACCTTTGGAGAAGCATATGGCGAGTTATCAAGCAGCGGTGGCACGGTTGGCCAATAGCTAAACGACTGTTATTGAACTGTTTGGAAGTAAATTGACTTCCAATCGGGTGTTGATGGATATGCAGTTCGATGCCTTACTGGACAAACGATTTGTCGAACTCTATGAAAACAAAGACAATAAATTCGATGTGGCCATATTGGGTTTCTTCATGAATGACTTCAAGTTGGTGGTTGGCGCAAAATTCAACTGTCCGATCATAGTAAGTTGGATGAACCAGCCTATGGAGGTAGTTGACGATCTGATGGGCAATCCAACAGAGCTCTCGTATTTGCCGACAATGGAGATTTCCATGAAAGTTGGAGAAGTCATGAATTTTCCAACGCGTGTTCGAAATTTTTTTCTGACCACCGTTTTAAAAGGAATTAGATTGATGCTAGATCTAACAACGGAAACACACTATAAGTGAGTTTTAGGTTCTTTAATGGAAAACTACGGGTCATTATATATTAATTCGCAAAATTTTAATCTGAAGCCTAAATTTACGTTGTATTGAGTACTATCGGTTTTTGGAGTTTGTATTTAAAATTATTGAGTAAATATACTATTGAATTCAATATGGTCTACACGTGGTTGATTAAAAAAAAAAATATTAAAAAAAAAATTTTTTCAGAAATCTTTCAATATTGTTTGGGTACAAAAAAAATCACTTGAATTATCATTTAATACTAATCTGTTGAACATAGTAAAACAATTTTTAAATAATACATTATATAAAAATTACCAGTAGAAGAAAACCCATTTTACAAAATTAGAATCGATCGGCCCTATGGCTTTTGGCGTTCTCTTAAACTTTAGCATTACATTTTTGCTGCTTCAACTATCACCTTCACACTGATCATGCAAGCAGGTGCAAAAGTCTGGACCCGTCTTCGATGGCTTTCGATAGCTGAAACATTATTTTAGCCAACCCAAAAGAATAAAACCCCAAAATCGATAGTTTACTTTTGGACTTATGGGGGACCAAATATCACTGCGGGCGGGCATTTGCTAGTTATTAACAAAAAGAGAAAAAAATATTAATATTAATTTCTTGAATTTTCTTTCTTTTTTAATTTTATTTCAGTAAATCCGTTGCCGCAGATCCCACTCTACCCTCATATGAATTTATGAAGAGAAACATCTCAATTATGTTTTGCAACAGCCATTACAGTGAGGGGCCAATAAGACCACTCACACCTGCAACGATTCTCATTGGTGGCATACAAATCAAGGAGAAACCAGATCCACTCGCCAAAGTGAATAGTCATAGAAAAAAATTTAAAAATAAAAAAACACTTTAATAACTGACTTTTTATGCAAAATTTCAGGATCTTGCAAAATTGCTTTCTGCCTCGCAGGAACACGGCGCAATTCTCTTCAGTTTGGGCTCCTACATTACAGATTCTCATGTCAAACCCGAAACTTTACAAATTATTTACAAAGTACTTTCCTCGCTCAAACAAAAGGTGATTTGGAAATGGGAGAACTTGGCGCATACACCGGGCAATGCTTCGAATATACTCTACCAAAAATGGCTGCCACAAGATGATATACTCGCTCACCCTAATCTCAGACTATTCATTACGCATGCCGGCAAGGGTGGCATTGCAGAGGCTACATACCATGGCGTGCCGATGGTTGCATTGCCGCTGTTTGTTGATCAGCCCGGCAATGCGCAAAGAATGGTACAAGCCGGCTATGGCATAAAGTTGGACATAAAGAAACTCACCGAGCGTATATTTCGAAATGCCATCTCTGAGGTTCTGACAAATCCCAGCTACGTAAATAACGTGAAAGCGTTCTCCAGGTATATTTGCTCTTAATTGGCGCACTTTTCATTATTTTGAAGTTGCTCCAGCTAGCGTGGAGATATGTGAAGAAATTTAATTTATTTGGATATGAACATTCTGAAGTGCAAAAGTCGAAGAGAGAATAAATAAACATTACTTCAGTATGTACATACATGCATACACGACTCAGTACCTACTAAGATAAATGTAATTTAGATATTTGTATATGTAAATAAAAATAAAGATTATTCTGTGATTATGAAACGATATACATATCTTTTTAATTGCTTTTGGTGCAGCTATTATGGCTATAGGTGCAT